AAAGTGTATGTTTAGTTATCGTGACAGTCATCAAAGTTATTGCAAGTGAGTTACAAGCAATGTGATCGTAGATATTCTCAGTGTCAGTGCTGTGATAATACTGGAGGTGACAAAGAGTGGGAATGTCATAAAGTTTTATTACTATTCGAACTATAGCAAGATTGAAAAAAGCTCTATGCTATTGAAATAGATAGGCGGCATGGCAATGATACTTGTTACTGTGTAATGTATACAATTTTGGCGATGGCGGGACGCCATTTTTTTCTAGCATGTCCTAAATAAGATCATCTTCACGAGAATTCATTTATCGAACCAAATTTATCAAATTACAATTAATAAGTGGTACAATCTGCGACAACTTGCCCGTGAAGCAATTTGAGAAATGCGACATTCAGTTAGACAACACTGCTAACAAACTTACTTTTTGTTAATATTTTCTATATGCACTTTTTATAAATTCGTATGTATATGTGACGGAGCCTTAAGTAGTATTAATATTATATCGTAATATTATTACTGAGAACAGAAAAAACAATTGTATGGTATAATACACATACTGTTTCGTCTTTCTTCGCTCATGGCGGTGGTGTGTCTATTGTGTAACGACAAAGACATCCAGAATCTATAGTTGTGGTCAAAGAAACAATAGAACACATTCTATAAACTTACAAAAGAATGTTAAATCTAGGGCCTCCCAAGAACACAACACATCCACTTTTTATCAAATGTTTTGCGTATCAACATTACAAGGCAGATAAAAGTTGTCTTTAACGTACAAGAATTTCTGTAAAAATGTTTAATATGCTTGAGTTGAAAATTCTACTGTCATACCGTACTGGTACATGCTCAACTTCCGTATAACATACAGAGAATATTTCTGTGTATTGGAATAGTGAAACCTCTCATTATCGATTTGATAAACACCGTATAGTATCAAGGTGACTTATGTTAAACATGTATTTCAATTTGTTGGTGTGACGTGAGTTCAAAGAAGCTTCAGTGTAGACACTCATCCATCATAATCATATATTTACTGGTATCTTAATTGGGATACTAGGATATTGTCAATTACCCGGCATACACTTCGATCAACAGGTGGTTAATCACCTTTCGTTTTATTTTAACCGTCGTAAAAACCTCGTCATGGTCATTATAATCGTTAAACATGACGCATAATACAGAAACAAAGTTTCCAGGGAAAGCATCGGCCACAGTGGCGAGCCGACGCGAATTGTAACGTGACAATGGGTGGTGAGGGACACGGAGTGTGCTTCCTGCAAGCAAATACGTTCTATAAGGGACGGGTTACAGGTTAAGAGTCTCGTTGACACAGGCAGTTCTGGGTATGCCAGGACACAGAAATCCTTGTTCTCCTTACACACTGCACAATTTATCTTTGTCTGGGTTTAACAACAACTTCACTATACAAGTTGTTCTTGGACACCATTTATGCTTGTACAAATACAAACGAGTATTTACATGCAATGTAATATCTTTTTTTATTTCTAGTGTCAGCAAATCGTCATTGGAAGTATTGCAGTTTATATGCGATATAAATACACGTGTCAAGATTATTTCTGACCCACTTGATCTACGCAACTATTCAACTTTCGTTTTAACGGTTGTATAATTGTGAAAGATCGGATAGACTAATATTAGATTATAATACTGATAATACACCATGATAATTATACATGTATAGTGGTTTAATGTCCTGGATCTTTTGAAGTTGCATTCCCGTTACTATGTTACAGGCAATTACTCGCAGTGTTTCGATTGAAGTACAAGGGGACAAAAGAGGACTCCCTAAAATCGTGCGAACAAAAACATACATTTGGCGTGGAATGTCGGCATCGGGAATTGGAACAAAACAATACGAGTTGTCCACTAACAGCGGCGTTTCACTAACATACCAGGTTAAAGTCGTCAACCATGGAACCAAATCTTAGTATCGGTATTTTGTTCACTTGTTTACCCTGGTCCGGTAGAATTCGCAAAAATAAAGCCCGTCATGCGCTCTGCCAGTGGATAGGGTTTCAAGTTTCATTCGTAATGAAAAACAGATTGTTTTAAAACCTGGAAGAAAATCTGAGGACTCACCTTCACTTTGCAGTTTAACATACTTGCTGGAGACTGTGATCGCATATTTCGGTAGCTTCCTTCCCGACGATTTGCTATGATTAAGCATACGTTTGACAATTGTCGACACCCTATCTAGATCGGGTTCCCGGCTCTGAAGTTGCGTCCCTAAATGCTGGCTGTAAAACACCATACCGCTGTCTCCCACTACGTGTCCGTTTCGTTTGTGCTGCGGTGGAAAATGAGATTCATGGCTAGCCGATCGTTGGTGCTTCCCACTCGACGGCTGCTTCTTGAACAATTTCTGAAAAATATTGTCCCGCTTATGGTCCTGCATGATCTACTGTTAGAGTGAATAGTCAACGATGTGGCATGGACTGTTGTATTGGCTCTAGTGAACGACGTGACACTCGGCAAGTGCTCGAGTGGGAGGAGCTGTCAATATCGGGTAGCTGTCAACGTGATGACGTCATTCATCCAGTATTTATGAAGGGTTCATTAATCCTATTTGTTATGACGGTGTCAGTTTGCTTACGTAATCAACCAGTTATCACCAGATTCACAAAATATTACTAACAACACTGTGACAATTTGATTATCCTGTAAAACAAAAGACGTTGGCCCAGCGAAAAAAGATAAAAATAACAAAAACACAAAACAGCACCCGTATGAAATAAAATACCCCGTACCATTACCACCAACGTTGGTATGTGTGTACAGGGTCAGTGTTAATTACAACAACTGCAGTGGAGGGACTGTGCAACAACACACTGAACGCTAACAATAAGACCAATTTTGAGAATACAACAATGCGACGTTAGTGCTATCACATAAATTGATAATAAACGTAAATATTATAAATTATTTTTACACCTATATTTAATTTATATGGTCGTTAATTCAATATACTTCAACTAAGTCATTGAACGATTGCGTATACATGACGGGCACGATGTAGGTATGCAACAGCTATTGTCTTCGCTAATGATATTGAAATATATACGTACATTCAATTATTCTCGCGTTAATGAAAAGGTACACAAGATAAACATGTCTTGTTGTCATGTTGAATGTTTACATTAAGCGATATTGCTATCATATGATAACCCTTGAATACCAATATAAACCTTTTGTTCATCTATGCCGATACATGACTCGTGAGGGCGTTACAATGGACACGGTGCATGTACAGGTCACGGTCTTATATTGGATATTAAGTATTATACTGCATTGTCAACACAATAAAGAATACCATATGTGGTGTTTATTCATGTACTATATTAAACCGGAATGATTCAATTCATTCCTCTCCAAAAAAAAAATAGTTTTATGATTTTCAGAAGGGAAATTTACATGAAATACAAAAGCGGATTACCGTCCAAATCACTGGTGTCAGGTTGCATGTTTTATCTCTGATATACTGACGTCAAAATAAACGTGCCGAGAATAGTTTGGACGAGTGATTTTGGGGCTGGTCAAGGGTCAAAATTCCAAATTCCACCAGAGGATTTTTTAAACAATTATTTTTTTTCCGCATGTTAACAAGAATTCATGATCCTACACATATATACTGGTATAGCTGTGAATATCTCGTCACATTCAGCCAAATATCCCATTCGAAATATCTAGTACAAACTATTCATTTATTATTTGTATACAACTTTCCAAATTTTGAGTGTTCCACTCCAAATAACGAAGCAATAAATAATCGGACACAGGTATAACCAACATAAGAATGTTGTCAATATTACACCTATGTTACCATTAGACAGCGGCGGGTGCGGCACGGAGGAATGTCGTATTATTTATCTTTTGTTGGAAACAATTCAAAGTCACCACATTAAAATTTATGAAGGACGAGGTTGGTCAAGCATCACGTGTTCATGTCACGTGTTCATATCATCCAGCGACTTTCAGTGTGTGTCAGTGACGTACTTGTTATCAAATAATGTAATATTTTGCAATATGTCATTGTTTTTATATGAAATATGTTAATATTTGTATTGATAATACGTGTATTTAATCAAGACGGAGACCAGTGTAATGTAATGAAGTATTCTCGTCACATAAGTGGACACAAGTGGACCAACAGAACACTATATATAATGACATATATAATGGTTTATGAACACGCATCAAATATTCTGGAACAACTTCATCACAATGTCCACGATCATATCAGCTCTATCAGCGATGACACTATTTTCAGTATCTGTTCAGCTGTGACTTACACGGTGTTTAGTGCCGGTATGTGAACCCATCCGATGCCTATAACCTCACTGGTTGACTGACTGACTCCATTTAGTATTAGTTTTGTTGTCCTGTCCGGAAGGTTTTAAATTTGTCTCAATAAAATAAAATAATGGTAGTTGCCTAGAAGAACAAAAGATGGGTTAGAAAGTTGTATTACTCCATTGTTACCGTGGTTATTACCATGTATACTAGATATAATCCAGAACCGATGTGAAAAGATGAAAACACTTCCCCAATCCAGAGATTCTATACCACTTACTGTATATGACGTCATGATCGGAACGTGACATATATGCTTAGTCAAAGTTACGATTTTATCCCAACACAATAGTAATAAATAAACGCCACTATGACTAAAATATGTTGTCATGGCTACATATACACTCACTCTTACAACGCAATAGGTCCAAGGTCCATATTCCAAAGAATTCAACTGATCCAAAACATAGAAGGCCGATGCATGCATCATTGGCGTCGTGTAATAATACATTGACGATTTCAATTTAAACACCGTGACGGCCAACGGACACTCTCAATGCTGCTATTGGAAGAAGGATGTATACAAATTATACATAACAATAGCCAAAATTGCATATACAATACATGATGGGTAAATATATATTATATATTATAGTGCAAAGTACTAATTTTGAAATTTGATTTAAAGTCACGTGGTCACGTGACAAACGGACGAGATTATCGTAATAACACTACCGTTCATACAGCAAAGATGAATTAGAGCTTGGAAAGAACTCAGGGAACCATGACGTCACTCAATGTACGACAGTCGCGATATCTTTAAAATCGTTGGTTGCGCTTGGATACATGGACATATACCGTATGAATAACCATAATATGGTTGTCATGACGATTGGTATTACTACAAATCAGATCATTTCATCATTCATGTGGGTAATTATTATCTGTTTCAACACGGTCATTGCACACAGTTTTGTTAATAATCGATCTGACATTTTTATAATTTTACGTCATGCATGTACAAGTGATTAGAGACAGAGTACACGCAGTGCCATTCAATGTATCGAGAGTAATAGACGGGAAAATGTTATAGTATGCCATTTTTTGTCGCTATTACATTGCTTATTTATTGCATCCGCGTTTTCTCTCTCCAATGAGATCGCATACATTGTGTAGCAATAAACAATTGAATACAGGTTGAAGGAATGTATGCCCAGGCTATCAACGTCACCTTTGACATAGACTCGATATCCAGGTTCTGTCGCTCTTGTATTGCCGTTCCTGGTAGTGTATGTATAGCCTTATCTCCGAAACGTTCCAACGGGACTATGATTGAGGTCGCTTGGTGAAAAAATACTTTGTTTCTGAGGAGAATTCACCAGTGGGAGAAAGAACATCGGAAACAACCATATTCACTGAGATTACACTCGGGATATCAGAGCACTAAGAGAGCTGGTCTGGGGTACCAGAGCACTCCGTGTACTGGCATGGGATACCAAAGTACTATGAGTACTGGCCCGGGGTACCAGGGCACTACGAATACTGGCCCAGGATACCTGAACACTATGAGTACTGGTCTGGGGTACCAGAGCACTCCGTGTACTGTCTATGCGCGTGACAGGTGACTAAAAATTAAAAACAAAGATTTGTCAAAGGTCACTTTCGACTTGCGTGCTCGAAATGCATTATAGGTAGATTAGTAATAGAGCCTTTGTCGTCCTTGTTCGTAGTTCGTGAAGTACGATAATCCTCCAAGTACACATTTGATGGCAAACACTGAATGTTTCAGGTTTATGTTTCACTTAGGGCTTATAGAACCCTAAACTCTTGAAAATTAGTCGTTTTGTACACATTTTGGAAAACACCGTTAACGGTGCGCGTTATGTGCAAACTTTGAACGAGTCTACATCTGTATTGACTGAATATATCACGCGTGCTT